AAGCTTCAGCAGGGAAAAGGGTCAAGCTGTTAACCACACAGCACACCGTGCTCTCCAGGCTCTTCTAAAGTATCTGGAGGTTGGTTTCAGGACACTATTCCAGTTAACATGAGTGTGCATCATCATGCCATAGCTGTGCTACAGGCTTGGCAAAAAAGTTACAGAAACTTCTGTGGAATTGAACAGAGGCAGGGCGGTGTAGCAGAAGGATGGCTTGTTTTGTGTGGCCTTCAGGGTCATCTTTAACCTGTCTGACCTCTCCTTTAAAAGCATAGTGCACTAGCTTCTTTCCTGAAAAGTCCATTTTATATCTGCTGTGTCAGGCATTCAGGCATTCATGACATGCTTTTCCTTTTTTTTTTTTTTTTTTTTAAGATGTTCTGTAGTTCTAATTCAAGTAATTTATTTTTAGTGGTGCAATAAAAGATTGCTCAAGGAAGTAGTGGTCTGGCAAGGAAAAAAGCCTCATTCCTGAGGAATGACCCAACTGGTTTCATGTAGAGGACATTCCCTTTAGTGCTGGTGCCAGACCAGGGCAGAACTTGCTCACCTTCCACTGAGGATATCCTTTTACTTCTGTTGAAACATTCATATTCTGCAAAAGTCGCAGCCTCTCTTCAGATGCAGGGGAGATTGGAAAATCTGACAGAAGTGGATCTAATTTATGAATCAGAGAGAGCTGAAAAAAGGATGATATGTTTTAAAGGCTTTCTGAGTCAATATGGTGCTGCTGCTATATATTAATATTAGTATTTTATATTTTTATAATATTTGGTCTTTACTGATGCCCTCCCATGGGTATAGTGGTAAGATTAGCTCCTTTGGTGTTGGCCAGGGGGATCCCTTCTAGGAACCCTCAGGTCTGCAAAGGAGGAGACTCCTGCAAGTGCTGGGCACTGGAGGGAGTTAACATTATTGCTGCCATCAGTTTGACCACACAGATGTATTTACAGAGAGCATGCTGGTGCAGGATGCACAGCCCTTAATGCAAATCCCCAAAGGCTGGGTACTGGTCAGGAGAAAGGACCTTTTACTATAAACTGCCTGATGTCTCCCCTAGTTTCCTCTGTGGACTATTACAGATTGGCCCAGATATGGGGACGTATCTCCTGGGGCCATGTGTAGACCCCTCAGTGGAGTGGCTTTTCTGTACTGGCTCACAAAGGATACTTCTTCCTGCACCTGTCCTGTTAACTGGCTGTTGAATTAAGTGTCTGTCAAAGCAAACTGCTGTGCTTAGCCCCAGTGTCTCCATGTCTTGTACATGCTGAAAAAATTCTCTCTTTAAAAGTATTTTTGTTAAGAATGCAATAAATATGTAACACTTTTAACACAGCTGCTGTTGAGTCATTTGTTTCTCGCTACAATTTTTGCCTGAGCTGGTAACTAGCCTGTCACAGATGTGGGTCTCCTGTAGACACTTGGCATCAGAGCACGGAGGCAGGGTTTAGGGGTGGCATCCCATGGCTTCAGACTGGGCTGGTGGCTGCTGTCTTGTGTGGGATCTCCTGCCCTGGCTCTGTGCCCGAAGTTGGTTTGGGAAGGGCCAGTGGCTGTGGAGTGGGCAGCAGGGAGCCATGAGGCAAGTCCAGGGCAATAGTGAAGAGGAAAAGGGGAGAAGCCTGAGCCTCCCTCCAGCTGCATAGGTCTTCTCCCTCCTCACCGTCTCTTCTGGATCCTCCCCAGAGGCTCTGTCGCCCTCCTGGGGAGGAATGATCCCAGCTGCAGAAAAATAACTTGACATTTTTTTCTGGGCATGCTCACTTCCCATCCCAGAACTTGGGAATTTGGTGTCCTGAGTGGGCTGGGCCTTAGTAAAAACGCAACAATGATTTTTATTTGCTGCTAGCTAGAAAGTCTGTGGGAAAGGTGCTCCTGCAGAGCAAGGAGCTGTGCCTCTGTCAGCTGTGGGGTTGATCCCAGCCCCAGTAGCTGCAGATGAGTCAGAAGTGGTCTCCCTTGGTGCTATGTCTAGTCCTGAGTAGCCTGGTCAAGAACTGTGGTGTTCGGGAGGCTGGCCTGTCCCAAGGACTAGACAAGACATGAAATGATGGATTTGTGACTGGTGGCAATGCCTCCCTGCAGGACCAGGTGCAGCTGAGGGTGTCTGGGTCTGCTGAAGGAGCAGTATGACTGCTCTTCCTCTGAGGATCCTCCCTTGGGAAACCTGCTCTGCAAGCAGAGCTTTGCCCATCAGTGTGCAGTGCTAGGGTCAGCCTAACCATGCCTGTCCTGGGTGTCCAAACCAAGGTAGCCTCCTTGCTTCAATCCAAATGGAGTATTTGGCATTGGGAAGGGGGCTGGACACTATGCAGGCTTCGCAGGAAGGATTGGGTTGTTCGGGATATGAGCACTTTGGCCTTGGGATGTGTGTCAGTGAAGGCTGATCATGCCTCAGCAGGTGGTTTGTGCCCCTGATTCACCAAGCTGGCTGCACTTTTGTGGAATGATTTTTTCCATCCTTGGAAAGTATCTGCCTCTCAGCTGTGGCGTGCAGTGGCGCTAAGTGCCTTAGACCAGCAGTTGGAATGTGGGGTTTATGCAGTCCTTTGTAACTTGTGTCTTTTGTGCCTCTGGGGAAACTGGAGCTTGGGGCTGGGCAGCACTGATTCAAAACTGTTTCTTTTGTGTGGATGATCTCATCCCATTTACTTTACCTCAGTGAAGTATCACAGATGGAAAGCTTCCTCTCTAGGAGTGTAAACCACTTGCTAGCTGGGTGTGGCTGTGAAGAAACGTGTTTGTGACTGGATTATCACAAACTCTCTGTTGGAGGCTTCTGATGAGAATAGCTGTGCTAGTGGCTGCAGGAGGCTGGATGAACAGCCAGGCAGCATTTGCTGCCGTGTTGCAGCAGCTCATGCCCTCCAGCCTGCACTCTCCTCCCAGCTCCCTGCTGCTCCAGCAGGTGGCCAGAGCCACAGGATGCAGGCAGCAGAGCTGAAGGATACTCGGGCAGAAACGTGGAGGGCTGTAGAGGTAGAAGGAGAGCAGTGAAGAGAAAAAGCTCATGCTTAACAAAATACTTCATAACAAAAATGAGCCCTGGTGGGCATAGTTAACTTCCCATTCAAAGCTGTATTTTCTACATCTCACTGTCAAATACTGTTTGCTGAAAATGCACTAGACCATCCTGCCACTGCTGCATGAATTCCTTGGTGCCACTGGCTGTAGATGTACAGGTCCTGTATGTTATAAGAAGGATCTCTGAGTGACTTTAGATTAGTAAATCTTCACAGGGGCACCCTGATCTGTTGTGGATGGTGGGATCCAAAGTAGGGTCTCTCCTTAGCTGGTGCTAGGAAGCATCCTGACATTTTGCTTGGACTGGAGAGAGCATCCTCTAGGATCTGTGCTGCAAGGCACCAGCACATTGGTCTGTCTCAAGGGTTGTGTATCTCATGGCTGGCTGAAGGCCTGATACACCTTTTGAGGAGTGATAGCTAACATACAAAAGCAACAGCCTGGCAGCTGTGTGCTGTTGCAGTACCTCCTACCCACCCCACTGGTCCAGGTCTCTCTTCCTTCTCAAATACACAAACTGGTACTACAAAAGTTCCTTTGTTTTGTGATCAGAAGTAAATAAAGGTTAATAAAAGCCGATGTTGGCAGTACCAGTCTGCTGTTTAAATAATTACTGAAGATGGCAGAGAATCCTGGGTAGCACACATTAGGAAAAATACAACTGATTGCAGGAACATGCACAGTTGCTTAACATTAAAACCAGAGCCTCAGGCACTCTGAGACATTGCCACTGCAGAGTTGTTTTGTGGGAAGTTTCACCAAGTTTGCGACCTTATATGTGTGGGTTAGTGGGATCACGTGCAGGTGGACTTGTGTCTTTATCTGTGCATTCATGTGGCTAGAGAAGGTAGACTATTAAAAAGATTTGACAGATTTCTTAAGCCAAAGAAATAACTGTATATACATTAGGGAACTTAGGCAAGGACTAATAGCAGCTGTATGCTCTCCTCAGCCTCCTTGCCTTTGCTTCAGTGGGGCATGCTGAACATGAGGCATATGGCATAAGAGAAAAATAAGTTTTAGCTATGAGCTGTTCACGTCTGATCTGGGGTCTACACATGCTGTGATGGGGCCTCCTTCCTGGGTAGGTGTTGTGAGCTCATGCTGGTGGCAACTGGAACCAGTATTACCAAGCCTTTTTCATGTCCTCTAGCAGGAATGGGGAGTTTGAGAGCTAGTGACAGATCTCTGTTTTAGCAAGTTTCACAGAAGGCCAGTTGCTGGGACTAGGAATAAATACATTTCTGCTGAGCTGAAATGAAGCTGGTTTAAATCAGGAAAATAAATCCCATGCCCTGATCTTTTTGTCAGCACTGCTAGGAGATCCCCACAATGCGGTGTTGGGGTTTCCACTTGCAGAGCTGAATTGGTTTCTTATGTCACACCCTGCTGAACTCCAAAGTGCAAAATCTTCCAATACTGGCATGTGCTTGGACAACCAGCACCTACTCCCATGCCCACTAGGTATCCATGTTTCTGTCCTTAGAATCTCAGTTCTGCTTGCCTGAGAGGACAGAAGCAAGCAAATCTGTTACCAGCTAAAAAAATAAGGCAGTCGTTTCGGGAAACAGACAGGGAGAGAGCCCTGCCATATTTCAGATGTTCCTGAGAACAAGGGAGGGAGCCCTGGGACATGAAGTGACCGTGGAAGTCTGGAAGTCCTTGTTTCCATCACTAGGCGAAGATATTTCTGACTGGGAGGGTGTGTCACCCTTGCTGGCAGACATCCCTTCAGACTGGATGTGCATTTGTGTCATTCCTTCCCCAGCAAAAAACGGCCCCACTTGGCTTAGTGTTCCCTGGATGTCCATGCTTGTTTGCACACCATTGCTTATAACTCCATGCTTTCCAGCCTGGCTGTGTTGATGTCTCTCTCCAAAGGTCATTCTGGCTTCTTCATGGTTGTCATTCTGATGCAAGGGGGGGCACAGGAGAGACATTTGTGCTTCACACCTGCCTTGTCCCCTTGCCCTCAGATACGTCATCATCTCCCGGGAGGAGAGGGAGCAGAACTTGATGGCCTTTCAGCACAGCGAGAGGATTTACTTCCGTGCCTGCCGTGACATCCACCCTGGGGAGAAGCTGCGCGTCTGGTACAGTGAGGATTACATGAAGCGGTTGCACAGCATGTCCCAGGAAACCATGAACAGAAATTGCACAAGTGGTGAGTCCCTTCCCTTTCCATCCTCTCTCCTGATCCCCTCAGGCTGCCCCACAGTTGGGCCAAGTGTGGTGGGTGAAGCAGGTTTTGCACAGGCTGTGTGAGGAGAGCTGCATTTCTAGAAGCAGAACACCTCTGGGTGAGAGCCCCAGCTCTGCCTGGCATGGTTGGATGGGTGTACAAGAAGAATAAGATACCCACAGTCATGGAGATCATGAAAGAAAGATTTATGCTGTGATGTGTCATGTCGTGTGTTGTGTTGTGCCATGCTGTGTGTGTGTGCTGCAAGGGCCTGATGCAATGCCCAGGGATCACAGAGCACCCCATCACAAGACTTTCTGGCCTGAAGATTGCCAAGCTGATGATCCTACAAGACAGCATTAGGTTTTTCCTCTGAATATGCTGCTCTCTCTGGCTCCTGTGAGCAGCCTGTTTGAGGGAGCTCTGGCTGATTTTGTGTCCATATGAATGAGATTTCCTTGGTGTGTTTGTATGTCCATTTTCCTCGTTTAATTTATCTCCTCTTTCTTCAGAAAGATAATTTGGGATCAGCGCGACATCTGCTCCTTAGTCTCACAACCTTAGAATGTGTATACAACGTACAGGAGGCTTTGTACTTGTCAGATTGATTCTTCCTTGGATAAAAATTGTTATCTTGTCTAAAGAGTAGCAATGTTGAAAAAAACCCAGCAGTCCTTTGGGTCCACATATTGTCAGCAGTATAGGAAGCTTTAAAGGAAAGCAAAAATTCTTAATGCATCTGTTCATCTGTACAGGGCTGATACCTGAAGTTAATTAGGAACATTTCTTTCCAGGCTAGATGCAGAATGGCAGGGACTCAGAGGGGCAGCCACACTAAATATAATTTGTAATTATGATTCCTGAGTATATTATTACACAGCTGCTGTTGCTGCCTTGACTTGGTAAAAGGTGTCTCCTCTTCAGTCATGGGGTGGACAAGATGTCCTGAAAAAGCTGGTTATCTCTATCACCTTAAGGTTGTTATGCACTTGCAGTGTTATATCTTGGTGGCTGTACTTGGGCAATTCCCAATTCTGAATTAACATTGGTATGAATTTGCTTTTTTATGTCAATGAACACCAGTGAGTGATTAGGTACCAGTGAGTGATTAGGCTGCAGTGATTTTGCTGCAGTAACATGCACAGTCATCCAGATGGCTTAGTCCTTTCTGAAAGTGCAGCAAGAGACAGTCTGTGCCCTTGGAGCAGCTGCTCTACAGGGGCACCAAGGCTACGAGCTATTGCCCTGCCATGCAAGCATGCCTTTAGTCCTTGATTGTCACGGTTTCATGGTTTGTGGGAGCTGAAACAGTAACTCACAGCCTGCTCTGTGCTACGAGTGTGGTGAAGATCTGCCTCAGGACTCTCCAGAATCTGCCACAGCCTAATGCATCCTCAGGTAGAAACTCATGTGGCTACAGAGACCATTCCAGAAACCCCCTGACATCTTGGTGAGCTCATCCTGCTGCAAGCTGGTCTCAGCCTGCCTTCACAAAAGGGGCACAGAGATGTTAAAACGGAGCATCACCTGGGCCATTGCTAGACTTGTGAGAGACATCAAAGCTTCAACTGGGAGGGCACTGGGAAATGGTCAGAAAGCAGCACAAAAATCTGCTGAGTCTTTCTATTTAAAAGATTTCAAATCCCTGCAGATGTGTTTGTCAAAGGAAGTGGCACACTTTACGAACTCGCAGGAAAATAACATGGTTCATGGGTTTTGTTTCTGCTGATGGTTTCTGAGCTGCCTCATCATTGGATTTGAGACCAATAATATGAGGGATCATCTTGTGATTTCTAGCTTTTCCATAGGGCTGAAGCAGTCGGCTGGTTGGGGGTAAAAATCACCAAGAAAGAAGAACCGGTTCTCTAAATCACTACCTCTCACAGTAGTTGCTGTGGTCCATAACAGGGGAAATACTAAGAGAGAGAGTCAAAGCTTTGTCCATAGAAATTCTCATCAGTGTGTTGAAAATGAGATCTGTTGTTATGGATTCACTAAAGAAGTGTCTGGGTTTCCTAGCCAGCATCCAAACCCAGTGCAAAATCCCATCCATTCAGGCCAGCCCTTTTTACAGTGCCTTACTCTAACTGTTTCAAGTCATGCATCTTTTCTGCATTCTTAGCATTGCTCTCCTTAGAGAGGGAATGGTAGCTTTTGCTCCATAACTCTTATGAAAGCATGAATACACTTTAAGCAAACAAAACCAAAAATCAGCATAAAGCAGCGTCTTGTTTGGGAAGCCATCAATGCTTGAAGTTATTTACAAGATAGAAGAGTGATGGAAATTGAGCCAAACCTATCGTCTTTTGAATTTCCAGGTAAGGAAATCTGGCTATTCCCTTTATTTTAAGCAATTAATAATTTATATGAGGTTACTTTTAATATTTTTTTTCAATTACTGAATGGCCATGCTCTCAAACTCCACCAGGACAAGCTAGACGTCCCATTCTTGGAGGGCATTCACCCATTGTAGCTCAGTTGACAATGTGTACCTTAGGTTTTAAGTGTGCAAGTTGTTTTTACTCCTTTACCTTTGCATTTCTGGAGCAGCCTCCAAACTGAACAAGAGTAAAGAGGCTTGCAAACTTTGTGCCATGGCGTGCACAGACACTGGGGTTGTCATGAAATGGTGTAAATCTCTCTCTGCACTGCTGTACGCTTGATACCTTTTACCAAGTCAAAACAGGCACAGGACTTCCAGCCAGCCAAAACAGGACTTAGGCTCTGGGTATAGATCAGTCATTCACCTCATAGTCCTCTTCCAACGCAGGTTGGTTATACCTTTAGGCTAAACAAGCTGCCTGTAGTTTCTCTTCTCTTTGAAGTGTGTGGGTTCTACTCTGCTGTGGTTACCCAGGACTGTCTCTGTTTTTGCAGACATGCCCATTAGCGGGGCTTCTCCTCTTGCAAGCCTCGGTTTCCACTGAGTTGTGTCAGTTCCCTGGCTTGTAGCATAATATGCAGACCTGCAGGGATTCAGTCTGCCTTTTTGTTCTTTTTTGTTTGAGTTTTAAATTGAGGGATGTTGCTCCGTTCCCAGTGATAATCCCCACCCCTCATTTTCCATTCTAGGAGACAAAATGTTAAAGAATGAAAACTCAGAAAAGAATGTAGAAAATCAAGAGGATGCAAGGGGAGCACTCCAATTCACTACCTTAAAGCAGGGGAAGAGCCCCTACAAGCGCAGCTGTGACGAGGGGGAATTCCACCCCCAAACAAAGAAAAAAAAAATTGACCTCATCTTCAAAGATGTCCTGGAGGCTTCTTTGGAGTCTGCCAAGTTTGAAGAGAATCAGTTAGCATCAAGTACACCACTTTCTCTCAGAAGAGCATCTAAATACCAGGCTGAAGACATCTTTGAGCAGTGTGGCAGTGCCATGCAGCATGGCTCCCTGACCCTCAGCAGAAACCAGAGGGAGAGCGAATGGAGGGTCCCTCACAGTTCCTCTTTCATCTCAGCCAAGGACATGAGCATCCTTGAAGATGAGGAAGAAGAGCCCCTGTCACTTAAAGCAGACAGCCCAACTGAGCTGTCACTGGCCTCTGCACAAGGCAACTCCCATGAGATCCCCACCACATCCTTCTGCCCCAACTGCATCCGGCTGAAGAAGAAAATCCGGGAGCTGCAGGCTGAGTTAGACATGCTGAGATCTGGGAAGTTACCCGAGGCACCCGTGTTACCACCCCAGGTACCCGAGCTCCAAGAGTTCTCAGACCCCACAGGTAAGCCTTGCCGAGTTAGAGCATTCTCCAAACCCTGCCTAAGGAGAGTAGTGAGATGCCTGTGTGCTGTGTACCCATCTAAAGCATTTTGCTCTGAGTATTCAGGTGAACCTGTGGTTCCATGGAAGGTTCTTTGTCAGGTTTTGTGACTGGGTGGGCCAGGAGCTGATGCTGTGGATACAGTGGAAAACACTGTTTGGGAAAGACTCTGTATGACAATTTGCTCTATTTGTTGCCATTGTAATTGATAATGCACTGCCAATAAAAAAGACATTCCATTGCAGACAGTTTGTTTGCTGTATTTTTGATGCATTCTCTTTCAGCGGAAGACCTTCCACAATGCCTTACATGCTACAAGAAAGTATGAATGACTCTGTGGTAATGCTGAAATGTGCTCTCTTTGTGTATGAAATTATGTCCTGCTGTGTCCCTTGTTGGAAATCTCTCTTTGTTTCCTCCACTGCCTTAACACAACCACGTGTGGCTTTCTGAAGACACATTTCATTTCCTCCAGGAACATGCTGTCAGGAAGCCAGGAGCCTTCAGTAAAAGGAATATTTGGGTCACACAGTGTATTGTTCAAGTGGTCAGGATGTAGTGTCCTTTTTTGCTGTTCATTGTGGCATGCTGGAGACAAAGTTCTTATGCAGAAATATTGATTTCTTTTCCTTTCAAAGTCATGATTCAAATTCTATTTATAATGTATTGTGGGCAGGAGAAGAGAGGTTATGGCCAGCTCTTTGGGCAGTGCTCTTACTCTCACCAGTAGGATGCTTCTCTAGCTCAGCAACTTTGTAAATACCATATTTTTTTCCTTTTTTCCTTTTTTGTTACAGCTTCAGAAAGCATCATCTCAGTTCCCACCATCATGGAGGACGATGACCAAGAGGTGGATTCTGCTGATGAATCAGTTTCCAATGACATGATTGCTGCTACAGATGAGCCTTCTAAGATGTCTTCTGCGACGGGCCGGAGGATACGGCGGTTCAAGCAAGAGTGGCTTAAAAAGTTTTGGTTTCTGCGGTACTCCCCGACACTGAATGAGATGTGGTGCCATGTCTGTAGGCAGTACACAGTGCAATCTTCTCGGACTTCAGCCTTCATCATTGGCTCTAAGCAGTTCAAGATACACACGATAAAGCTTCACAGCCAGAGCAACCTCCACAAGAAGTGCCTGCAGCTTTACAAGCTCAGGATGCACCCAGAGAAGACAGAAGAGATGTGCCGAAATATGACCCTGCTCTTCAATACAGCCTACCACCTGGCCCTGGAGGGCAGGCCCTACTACGACTTTCGGCCTCTGGCAGAACTACTGAGAAAGTGTGAACTCAAGGTGGTGGATCAGTACATGAATGAAGGAGACTGCCAGATCTTAATTCACCATATCGCCCGGGCACTCAGAGAGGACCTGGTTGAGCGCATCCGGCAGTCTCCCTTCCTCAGCATCATTCTGGATGGGCAGAGCGATGACTTGCTTGCAGATACAGTTGCAGTCTATGTGCAGTACACCAGCAGTGATGGGCCTCCAGCAACTGAATTCCTGTCTCTTCAGGAGCTCGGCTTTTCTACAACAGACAGTTACCTTCAAGCATTAGACCGGGCTTTTTCCAGCCTGGGAATACGACTGCAGGATGAAAAGCCAACTATCGGCTTGGGAGTTGATGGTGCTAACATTACCGCCAGCCTGAGAGCCAACTTATTCATGACAATCAGAAAGACCTTGCCCTGGCTCCTCTGCCTTCCCTTTATGGTGCATAGGCCCCACCTGGAAATTTTGGATGCAATTAGTGGGAAGGAGCTACCATGTCTGGAGGAGCTAGAAAACAATTTGAAGCAACTGCTCAGTTTCTATCGTTATTCTCCCCGACTCATGTGTGAGTTAAGGGTCACTGCTGCCACTCTGTGTGAGGAGACCGAGTTCCTGGGGGACATTCGAGCAGTGAAGTGGATCATTGGGGAGCAGAACGTGCTCAACGCTCTCATCAAGGATTACCTTGAGGTTGTAGCCCATCTCAAAGATGTCAGTGGCCAGACCCAAAGGGCAGACGCTTCTGCCATTGCCTTGGCCCTCCTGCAGTTCCTGATGGACTACCAGTCGATTAAACTCATCTACTTCCTGCTGGATGTGATTGCTGTGCTTTCACGCCTTGCCTACGTCTTCCAAGGGGAGTACCTTCTTGTGTCACAGGTGGATGATAAAATAGAGGAGGCCATCCAGGAGATCAGCCGGCTAGCAGACTCCCCTGGGGAGTACTTGCAGGAGTTTGAGGAAAACTTCCGTGAAAGCTTTAATGGCATTGCTGTGAAAAATCTACGGGTGGCTGAAGCCAAATTCCAGTCGATCAGAGAAAAGATCTGCCAGAAGACCCAGGTGATCCTAGCCCAAAGGTTCGATTCCCGCAGCCGGACATTTGTGAAGGCCTGTCAGGTATTTGACCTTGCAGCTTGGCCCAGAAGCACTGATGAGCTCATGAGCTATGGGAAGGAGGATATGGTACAAATATTTGAACACCTGGAGACAGTCCCATCATTTTCCAGAGAGGTTTGCCGAGAGGGGATGGACACCCGAGGGAGTCTGCTGATGGAGTGGCGAGAACTCAAGGTGGATTATTATACCAAAAATGGTTTTAAAGACTTGCTCAGTCACATTTGTAAATACAAACAGAGATTTCCCCTCCTAAATAAAATAGTTCAGATCCTCAAAGTCCTTCCCACCTCTTCGGCCTGCTGTGAGAAGGGGCGCACCGCGCTGCAGAGAGTGCGCAAGAACAACCGCTCTCGGCTCACGCTGGAGCAGCTCAGTGACCTGTTGACGATTGCTGTTAACGGGCCACCCATTGCCAACTTCGATTGCAAAAGGGCACTCGATAGCTGGTTCGAGGAGAAGTCAGGCAATAGTTACGCGCTCTCGGCCGAAATGCTGAGCAGGATGTCATCTCTTGACCAGAAGCCGATGTTGCAGAGCATGGACCATGGCTCTGAGTTTTACCCTGATATTTAGGAAGGAATGCCTCAGATCAGATAATTTTTTTAATCTATACTCTAAACTTTGATATATTATATAAAATATATATATTATCTATATTAAGGAAAAACCCACACTGAAAATTTAAGACGATGTGCGTCTGATAGAAGCTAAGCAGAATTTCAAAGATTGAGACAATGTTTAGACATTTACTGGTGTCTCCAACCATGGCAGCTGCAATGTAGGTGGCAACATTTCATTCTTTAGAAGCATGTGCTGGGGCCATACTCTACATGTTCAAACCTAACAACCTATAAGCTAGACAACGGGTCTTTGTCAGCCTCATCCTTCCAGCGGTTTCCTTTGTATGTGTGTTGTCAGTTTGCTCTGTTGTTTTTTGTTTTGTTTAGTTTCATTTTGGGGTTGATTGTTTGGTTGATTGTTTGTTTGTTTGTTTGTTTTCCCCTCAGTTTCAATCTCTGCCTCTCTTTCCATTGTTCAGCCCAGTTATTGAGCCATTTGAGCCTTTTGTTGGCAACCATCAGATTTCTGATTTCTGACAGAGCATCCCGTGTGTTTTGTTGCCCCCAGCTCCACCCAGTTCTCTTCAGTGGAGTGGAAGCTTTCTTCACTCAAAAAATTACTGACAGGAGAGGAGGGCTGGGGGCATTATTTTGGGTTTTTATTATGATTTAGAAACAAATGCCTCCACTATACTGTGATGACCCTTTCTCAGTTCTCCCTACCTTTGGGCTGTAGAGTAATACTTGGCTTTCAGCTCCTTTTATGATAACCATAGTATAAGTCTATCATACATATGTTATAACATGATGTCATGTGCAGACTATAAAATAGCAAAATAGAGAAGGCAGGGGGAAATTTTTGCATTTATATTTTTATATTGTATGAGATAAATATATATATATACAACTATTCATTCAAAACCAGGGCTGCTGTGGAAGCTAGACAGCCAATGAGTCGAGACCCACCTCTGGGCGGAGATTCAAAGGCTTAAAAAATTATAATCTAATTTACATTATTTATACCATGTCTTTATAATCCTAGATTGTTGTGGGGCTTTTGTTTTGTTTTGTTTTGTTTTGTTTGGAATGACTGAAAGAAAAACCTGCTGCAGTTTGGTGGCAGGAGCTATCAATGCAAGATTATCTTGGATTATATTAATGTGTGATGTCCTACAAAGGTTCACTTACTCTCTTGTGACCAAGGTAACATGTTCCACAGCACAGCAGACTGATGATAGCAGGAAGAAGGGATGCTCTGTTTCTTCCTGCAAGTTATTTCTTCCTTTCTTGAAGGAATGTGGAGTCCATCTGAAATGTGAATGGGGGACTTGCACCTTCCATCACAAAGAGATTGTTTTGTGGGCTTGGGGCTCTTCTTTGTTTTATTCTTTTAAAGTAAACAAGCTCCATCCACACAATATCACTTCAGGTTAGAAAAGAGGAAAAAAAAAACCACAAAAAACCCCCAACCAACCAAAAAAACCACACAAACAAAAAAGGTGCAAAAACTCCACAGATGCTAGTGCCTTGCCCTGCTGATGTGGAATGGACAGCACCAACCTGACCAGACCATCGTGGGAGTGAGACAAGTTGTCCAAAAGGTGTCCAGGCCAACATGTTCTCACTTCCCAGAGGGATGAGCTTTGTGCCAAGCTGTGTTGTTTGGAAACATGATGGTGGTATCAGCAACACTGAACCTTTCCTTTCTCCTGTTACCCCCCTGCCCTTGGTCTTGGTGCTAAGATATCTCTAGAAACGTTGCTGCTAGTTAATAGCTTTTCATTTATATAAATATATATATATATATATATATAATATTATTTTATTTTTTAAACTTTTTTGTTTGTTTTCAATGGAGATGTAGCATGTTTGGAACTGATCTCTCTCTGAGTCACTTTCACTGCCAGGGTTCACGCACTGTCTTCCCCAGGAAAACACACACTTCTACCTAGGTCTCACTCACCTCCTGCTAACCCCTTTGCCTTCAGCAGAACTTCACAGCCAGCACTGGCAGAGGTGTGCAGCCAAGCCACTATGGACTAGTTCAACTTTCAGACCACACAGGAGCAGCTAGACTGATGTTTGTCAGGGTTTTGGAAGTGCTTGCCTCTGTCCCTGTGGGATTGAGGAGGGATTGAGCCCACCCAAAGCACGAGTGGTGGCCTGTCCTTGTGTCCTGACACTGCCCCTTCACTGTAAAACAGGGCCTTCCAGTCAGGTGGTCCGAGCGGAACAGAGTGGAGCCTGTGAATGTAGCAGTGAGGGCTGGTCAGCACCCTCTGTAGCACTCACCCCTTGCCTTACCTCTGACAGCACGTGCAGCCTGAGGCTGGCTCGGGCAGGAGAGGGCACCTGCGCCAGGGCCACCCAGCTGCTGCCAAACTGCCGCCAGGGGTGCAGGCGCTGGGTGCTCCTCCTTGTGGTCCTCATGGAAATGTCACAAGCTAGGTCAGGGCATCACTGCAGTTGCAGCACAGGGGCATTGATGTGACACACCTAGGAAGCATGAAAAATGGCTTTGTTTTCATGTTTTCCTGTATTTTCTTACAAATTGTATGATCAAGTTGATCCATTCATCCAGAGGAGCGAAAATTAAACTGGAAACCCCCTGCTAGCTGTACAGCCTTGGGTGGTTGTTTGCCTGACCATAAAGTAGGGACCTCTCCACACAAGGTGCTCGTAGCTCTCCGGGCATGGTTTGAATTGGCTCTGCTCAGGGTGCTGCCACAAAGCTCTGGAGCTGCTGCCTGCCAGGGAGGTGGCAGGCTCCCTTCCTTTTTAAAACTTGAGATGTAAAAAGATAAAAAAGATAGAAAAACTGCTGCTCCATTAGTTTCTGACTGGAGATGGGTAAGGTGAACATAGATCATAGCATCAGTAGAACTCCAGAGCTCTTCATGGGTGGAGAGGAAAAATCACCTGCCTTTCTGTTTGCAGCAGCAAAAGCTCCTTCGCACAGAGGCCCATCAAAGTGCCTGGCCCACATGGAGGGAAGGAACATTTGGAGACAGTCTCCAAAGACCTTTGGAGAGAGGAATGCTCCCCCAGGGCTTGTGTTGAGCAGCCCAAGAGGCCTGTTTACAACTCCTAACTTTTGCTACCGGGGAGGAAATGGCAAGCTGAGAGTTACCAGTGGCCTGTTCAGAAATTATTCTTTCAATTTGTCACTCCTTCCCTTTGGCTCACTTGCAAATCCTGCTTTCATCAGTGACACCTTTCACTGGCAGCTTTTATTTCTAATGGTGCAGTGAAATGTGCAGCACGTGGTGATATTCTCTGGCAGCCAGCTGACACAGGCAGAGCACTTGTTCCTTTAGCAAATAACTTTGCTTGCAAACAGTGATTCCCTGCCACTGGATGTTGTGGATATCCTTGATGGGAAAGGTCAAAGACCCCTTAGATTGGTGTTGAGCATAGACAAGAGCTTCATAGAGCAGCTGGCTCAGCCCAGCCCATCCCAGCTCCTCCAACACAATTCCCTGTTACCTGCACACCAGAAAATAAACCTGGCCTTTGTCCTAGGGTAATGCAGGTGCTTTGCAAGCTTTCTCTCCAGGTTAACCTGCCTATCTCAGATCTGTAGCTCTTACTTTCATGGATAGTCTGTGGATGGAAACATGACTACCAGCATAGACAAGATAGGGAGGAGGGAGGAATATCAATGCAAAGCACCCCTGGCTTCCCAGGGCTCCCAAGCCTTTCCCAGAAGCAGGTACATCTCTGTGCCCTGTTTGTCTGAGCCCAGCCTGGTGGCAGTGAGGCCAGGAGGCAGCAGCAGGCATGGGGAGGGCTTAGCAGGGTGATGAGGGAGGCCTCCATGGCTCCAAGTTTGCCCTGCATCAGGTTTAATCAATGCCTTTCCTGCTGTGCTGAGAGAGCGAGAGGAGCTGTTTTGAATGTGTTGCTCACAGCGTCTTGAACTGGTTAGGCTACAGAGACAGAGGATTCAGTTTTTCTTGAATGAGCTCTTTATTGTCTCCTTCCCCTGCATCTTAGCTATGGCATCTGACTGTGAATAATGCACACTTCTCCAAACCCTTGGGTTTGTATTTCTAGCCCATGGGATTTTTGGTTGCCAATTTCCCTTCCCCACTTTTTGCTCAGGCTCCTTGCCTCTTTTACCCTGCTGTGAAGCAGAAATCTGTGAAGCACATTTAGACATGTCCTTCTGCAGGGCTCACCCGTGTCCACAGGGGTCCGGGCCCTGCAGCCACGAGACTGACCTCAGCAGGGATAACCCTCACAAGAAACCAAAGCTCTTCCCATACCAGCAAAAGCACACGGAAGTCACGGGGGCTGCAAGGCGACACGGTGGGCAGGGTCCTCATGTGGTGTCTGCCTTGGGTCTTGAGCCAACTGCAGCCATGTCCCCCGTACTGGTGACGCTTTTGCTGGTATGACTGTTCAGACATCATTCAGGCTCGGTCCATCTCTTTCTCACAGCACAAACTCAACCAGATGGCCCGCGGGGTCTTTGGAGTCCCCCTCCTTTCTTAGCTCATGAGGATTGCTGTTTGTTTGACCAGTGCCTAGACAGCTGGCTTGCAAATAAGCAGCAACAGCCTCTGCTTTTGCAGATTCCCCTTTCACCCCTGTTAAAAGAGGTCTTAAAAGCAGAGAAATGGTACGTTAATCCCCCAGCCATTGTATCCAATGCAGTAATGCCTATGCAATTCCTGTCTCCCTTGGAGACATGTATGATGTGTGTGCATGTAAGCTAGTGTATGTATACAGTACATATGCATATGGTCTATATATTGTATATACGCACATCCCAGTACATATACACACAGTACAAAAGATTAAAATCACGTGCTTATATATCTATAAATGAAATCCTATATATTTATATATTTCTATGTTTTCGATAGATATAAAGATATAATATAGAGATAGACTCAACCACCCTTGTGTAAGGCTGGGCCTGTGTTCTAGCACAAGGCACGTAACACTGAAGACTTTGGACTTTGGGATGGTTTTAGCCATACACTGAGGCCTACATTTACATGTATAGCACTCTATGGAGAGGGGCTTGGCTGTGTTTAGGGCAAGGAGTTTCCTTGCTGGCATGTTAACCAGGTGATAAATAAGGTTTGTTTAATAATGGAATGTCTTGGTAGAGGAAAATGCTTGAGTGTCCTTCTCCCAAGAAAGGCTCTTGCTGAGAGCCTGTGTGTTCACACTTGGACAGACACATATCCACCCCCATATGCACTTTTGTCTCTCTGCATGGATGCGGTTGGCAGCTGCGGGCACTGGTGCTGTGGAAACGTGGCTTTTTGCAGTTCCGTCTGGCATTCCTCAGCAGTTGCTAGCACACTGCCAGGGAGACCCTGCACTGGCCAGTGCTCATGTGGCATCAGTGAGAGCATGGGTGCACTTGTGGGCATCGGTCAGTGACACAGCCGTGGCACTGGGATAAAGGCAGCAGGAGAGCCAAGGCAGTTTTCAGCAGAGAAAGGGTTACGGCCATGCAGTTGGAGCTGGCAGGGATAGTGTATGGAGCTGGAACAGTGCAAACGGGAAGGAACCGTGAAGTCAGAGCGATAGGGATGAGAGTGCGCGGTCCCAGTTGGAAAGGCACACTCAGCTCTTTTGGGTCAGGCTGGCCACTGTTCTGCTACAGGAGCCACTCCACTCGCTCAGGTCTCACAGCCGCTCCTCAGCCCGTGAGCAACCTGCCTGGCCAGGGGCCCAGGAAGGCTTTCTGGAGGAAAGGGAATGATGTGATTGTATGGAAGACATGGTCAGTGTTGCCCGTGTGCCTTTGGGCCCTAGCACACAGCGTTCGGACCTTGCCAGGCTGAAGCACCAAAGGGTGCAACTCTCTTACCCTGCTCGTGCAAAGAGACAGCTGCTTTCCCATGACCAGCATTTCCGTGCTGGGATGGGGGTGGATCAGCCCTCCCTGAGTATCTGCTGATGCCTGTGGGATGGGCGACTGTCTCATCCCTCCGTCCCTCCCTTCACACAGCCATTCATAGGACGCTGGCCCTGCTGCATTCTGAAGCCTTTGGCTGACACCTGAGAGAACCAGAGAGGTGCCTCTGGCCAGTCTGGCAGCAGGTGGTGAGTAAGCGAGCTGCTTCCCCACAAGGGTTGGAGGGAGAGCATGGAGGTTTGCCTTTGCAGCTCCGCGCCAGGCCCGGCAACCACTGCACTCCTTGCCGTTTGTTTTATTTGTTGGCTTTGGTCGGGAGGAGGGTGAGTTGTAATTCCGACATCCGAATGGATCATTACACTGGTTTTGCATGAGCAGACGCTGTGCAAGCTGTCCCCAAGCCCTGTCACGCACCTCAGTGCCCTCTCCCAGACCTCTCTCCTCCACACAACTGGTAATCCACCTCAGCCGCCCCTGCCCGGCGGCGGCTCCCCGCTCTGCCGCAGCCCCTCAGCGGTGGGGAGCTCTCAGCACCTGTTCCTCACAAACCTCAGAGACAG